TTTGCACATTTGTATAGCGATTCCTACAATATTACCTTGTATCAAGCAGCTTAAAAATGAACTTTTAAGGAAGAACATACAATACACATTTTAAATAGCCCTGGGAACTCAGCAGATACATCAGCGAGAACTATGACACGTCCTCCTGTCACAGAGAGCCTTCGATTACATAAAAATTGCCAGATTGCCTCAGATTAGTTGTCCATCGAGTCTTGAATCTTGTTTTTGAAGGTGACAAGTACCAGATGCTTCAGAGGCAGGTGCAAGAAACCCCCATACTGAACACTTATGTAATAGAGAGGGTTCTTCCTAAAATCAGGCAATTGGTGGGTGGCTTATGCTTCACAGCAGGAGAGTTTATAATGCCGTGAAATGTTTATCTTCATTATGTAACCGTGGATGTGATTACCCATCTATAGACATCTCGGGCAGAAAGTGCCACAGGGCTTTTAATAAACACTGCTAATCAGGACCTTGTTTTATTTCTCAGCTGAGAGACATCAGAGCAATTCAGGATCTGAGGGACCCTAGAGTATTATACCAATTTGCTAGACTGATCATTTTTTAAGTATAGCAAGGGCTCCTAAGTAGAGTTCATTTAGACATCTAAAAGTTGGGTGTCTGGTCTAAGCTAGCCACTAAACCAGAGATACCTCAGACTAGAGTGCTAACTAGAAGTGAATTTCTAGAGTTACATATGATGAGCTTGAATTGGGGAAGTAAGCAAAAGGACTTTTTGCTTCAAGACCTTCTTGGGAGAAAGAAAAATCTCTTAGACAGTTGGAATTAAAAGTAGCCCACATCTGAAGTACCCTACAATTCTAAAATAATATTCATTATCTCCATTACTTAAGAAGAAACACAGTGATTTTTTAAATAAAAGGATGAATATACTTTGTAGTAAAGAAGGAGGAATGGAAACATAGGGTATAAATACAAAAAAAACCCCTTCTATACCACATGCTTGATTTTTACATTAGTTTCTATTGCTGTTTTAAATTTTTGCTCTCCTTCCCTGAGTTAAAGCTGTTCTACAAGAGGCAGCATGCATGTATAACAATTTAATTGAATTTGTTTGATGGTATAATCATGCCATTAGTAAATTTAGCACAACTCTGTGTGGCTCCTAGAAATAATGGCACATACAGCTTAGTTGTCACACTGGTTTGCAGCACAACCCCATTTGTAGAAAAAGAAACAAGAACACCGCAGAAAGTCTCAGGTTTTTATGTTCTTTTAAATTAAACAGTTCCAATAAAATGGCAATAGTAAGCATGGTGGAAGAAGATACCAGAGTTATTCGGCACCTGAAGTAATGCAAGGCAAGTTCTTGCTTTGCAGTCCTGGTACCACACAGCCTGTTTTCTGAAGCGAAGACTATGTGCAACATTCTCTTGTGTTTGAGCTAACACTCCATTCAGACCTTGCGTATCTATTTCTGATTCCTTTCTGCTTCTATTGGAATGGAAAAGCTTGAGAGAGTGATGTATCCATTTGAATCTCTAAGGCACCTTTAAAAATATAGTGGATATTTCCATTCTCATTTCTAGAAGTGAGAGAAATCAGGGGTGGAGTAAGAATTGACCTCCCATGGAAGCCGAGTGGTGTAGGAACCTACTTCCTCATGGCTGAACATATTAAACAGTTGTGTAAATGCTCCCTGTTCATTTTACCGCAAAAGAAGTAGGTTTGCTTTAACTCCCTGAAGTGGTAGGTTGAAACTAATCTCCCAGCTGTGCCCTGAAATTAATTAAAAGTTTGCATACAATTGACCAGAGTCTCAACTGAAATCTCTTCAACTACATTGCGAGCTCTTGTTCACTCAGGCCATATCCCACAGATGTTTACATGAATTGCTAAAGATCGCACAACACAGGGTTGGCAGGGCTGGGAGGAGAACCAGAACTGCTGACGGGTCATTCTGTGTTTGGCGCGTTAGACCACAGTTTCCCCTAGACAACACATTTCTGCATATGGAACAGAAATGTATCTCTGGTTCCTATTTCACATAGGCTGAAATGACTGCAATGAATCTGTTCCCAGTTGCTGGCCAGCAGGCACCACTGTAATTTCTGAATATATTTGGGACTTTCCCTTTGGCGAATCTTGGGACCTGATTTTCTACATGACTGTTGATAATAATGGGCCAAAAAGTCAAAGAAAAAGAAACATATGAAAGATTGTATTAAATTTAGAATGATATGCTGAATGTTTGCATGTTCTTCACAGAATATTTGTCTCAACATAACCCTTAGCAAACAAACAAGATAGCTTGCAGTCATTTTCAGTACATCCAGATTGCCTGTTTTCTTCCTTTTATTTACCCCAATTTTGCAGTAGTTTATCAAGGCACACTTTAGGTTGGCACAAATCAGCACTGCCTCCATAAAAAGCAATTTTGCACTGCCACCATTTTCTTGCTCCCCTCTTCCTATGCCTGGGCAAGCATGGGTGTTTCTCCAGTTGCATGGTTAACTGGAAATACTGAAAGACTAATCATTTTTCATTTCCCAAACTAATTTTAATATGCATGAATTTCCCAGTGCAGTTCATTGCTCAACACACAAATATTTTGGCCACTAAGTAAGGTGCAAGATAAGGAAAGGAGCAGAGTAGGAGGAAGGTGAGCCTGCTTCTTTTAGGGGTAACACTGCCCTAGCTGGCCATGCCTTAAGGCATATAAGGTATCACAACTGAACATATGCTTATCCTGTAAGCATGCTCAAAAAGGATAGAATAAGGTTACTGAACAACTGATACCACAGATCACCACTGTGATTGCCGAGCAGATCAGCCACATCAGCCACATCAAAGGTACAACAGCTGATACATGTAAAAACACACAAGATTATCTCCCCCCGCTCCCACCTGGGTCTCCATTTTTCTAACATGTAGCAGCAATTGGTAGCATGGCTCTATCTAGTATAAACAGTTCTACGTTATTACAAATCAATAATTGGAATAATTTATGAAACTCTGATATTCTGATGAGTTAGATCTCTCTCACATACATTGGAAATGACACGATTTGATTCTAACATGATTTTGTATCTTGCTGGAACACATTTTTTGAGACAGTAGCATCAAGTAGAACAAACAACTTTTTATCCTGTATGCAATAACAGGATTCCTGGTTAGAACTTAACAAAATCTGACTTTGCAGAAATACTAATAGAGATTTAATCAGCTCAGTTTAGCTAAATCCTTATTAAGATATGTGTAATGACCATCCAGTGTTTAACTCACACTAGGATTCAGCATGAAAGCTATTAGAGAAGAAATTCCCAAATGACCTCTAATAATTTTCCTCAAAATGGCAGAACATCCATGTGACCTCCATTTTTTGTAAATTTATCATTAGCATCTGGATACAAATACAAGCATCACTGTGTTTTGTTGAGGCAGAGTTCAAAACTTTCATACTTAAAAGTTAAAACCTTGACTAAGAATTGGTCACATAAGTTCTGCAATGACCAACTAATCTGGATGCCATTACTTAACTTCCACTGATCCTATTACGGATTTTAAGATGTGAATGCCATGCTGATCAGAATTATGCAACCTAACCCCCCTAATACATCTTCTATATAGAATTCTTCTGCCACAGACTCAGAATCCTGCTCCACTTCACAGCCACTCCTGACAATCTCTTTCATCAGAGACATTCACAGACACATACAGAACCATCTCAAGGAATGGTGAATATTTAGGCCAAATATACGCTGGCTCTACATTCAGTAGTCTCACTTAGTCAAGTAAATATGTTTTGTAACATAGACTGCTGCCTCATCATAATTACTCCTGGTTAACTGAGCATTTTTAAGACTAGTGTTAGTCACAGAAGGACAAAGGCTGATGAGTTTGGGATGCATACATGTGTGGAAAGTACAAAAATAAAGAATAAAATTTCAGAATACAGGTCATCATTATTTCGCTTCCACAGATTTTTCCTTCTATGTTACATGGCTTCCTAATTACATACATTGCCTTCAGTTTCCCTTAGCAGTAACTGTTGCCTCCCCATTTCTCATTTGAATGGGTCTCTGGATGCAAGGCCAGAGAACACTTGCACCTCAGGGGTCCACAGCTGTTGAAATGTTGCAGCAGAGCTATAGCATTGAGGTATACGCTAGTTTTTGTAAACTACAGTAGGCATTGGATGTAGGAAAACATCAAGAGCAATGTCAAAAAATCATAATTTTAAACCACATTTGTCCCATTCCATACTGTGCATACCTTGTCTCTATCTAAGGAGTCATCCCTGTACCTATATCAAAGACGGAGCACACCACAGCAGCTCTAGTGAAAAGTACTAGAAACTTTCCTTTATAGAGTTCTCTCTCCCAGGTCATGTACAGGAAAGCCAGATTTCAATTCAAGATAGTTAAATTGTAAAGTCTGGAACATCAGAAAGCAGAGAGGCACAGAATGAAAGACAAGAGGTGCTTGGGACACAAAGTGGCCATTTGTCTGGGGTTTCCGAGTGGCGTCTCCTGTGCCTAGCCTGCTTCTGCCTTGTTTGCAGAGGCAGGGCTTGCACGGAATTCTGAAATAAGCCATTTACATTGAAAACACCTAATCACTTATTTCTGTTCTAAAAAACAAACCTGGAAGGCCCTGAAACTAACTGCTGCTCAGCCAAAGGACACCGATACTCCAGGACTGATCTTCCCAACCTGGGCAGAGAAAAACGAACAGGATTTCAAAATCAAGACACAAACCAGTGCAGATTTTCTGTGCTCTTTCTGATATTCAGGTGAAGGGAAAGAAACTGCTTGTGAGACCTCTGCTATACATGCTGCAGCATGAGACTTCTTGCAGCAGCCAAAGAGCCAGCACAGGTGAAGAAGTGGCGGGCCCTTCTCCCCTTACCTCCTCCACACAGACAACTGAAAGTCGCAGAACGAATCTCACATTTTCAGTTGACAACTGAATACACGTTTTATTCTTAGTAAAGACACTCACAAAAACTTTAAGGAGACTGAAATGATTTGAAATTATTTGTGGTGTATTGCAAAACAGTTCACTTTATTGAATTGCCATGATAAAAGTAATTTGTACAGGAAATATATTTAACAAATTTAAAATAAAACCCCAGACTAATGCTCTTCCTGGTCATCATCGTGTCTCTTTTTCCAGGTGCATCTAAGTAGAACTATAACACCACCTGACAGATGATGCTTGAGCATTCTTGTACAGGTTCTTATTAATCAAATTATCTTAGTAAAACTATTAGCATACAGAGTGTTAAATATTTCAACTTTAAAGCCAGTAGAAAATGAGAATTAAATTAGCAGGAAGTCACATTGTCTGCCAGTCACAAGACCGGCAGTTCTCTGAAAGGATTCTCATTGCCAAGCAGAATAATACCATAACCCCAAAGCTGAGTTTCACAACACTCCACAGGGTCCCGTTGAATACTCAATTTCATTCATGTGAATTGTAAAATTGTACAAAAAGGGGTTTGTAATGTATTTTTAGTATTTGGATGAGACTGTGCCATGAATAACTGACCCATTTTTGAGTGTACTTTTTAGGAAAAAAAAAAAAAAAGTTGTTACAAAACATTTTCCTCCAAAAGCCTCCCAGATAAGGAAGGCAGCATTATCATGGCAGGTTTGATATGTGTGCTTCTTGAAACAAGTGTTATAGGCCCTTTAACAGAGAGAGCATGATAGCAATTTTTTGTTCCATTGTGCTTACAGTAGAACTCTCTAATAGAAACATGGAATTTCAATCCATAGGAATACTGCAATGAACATAAACTATCTAGAAATGAAACGTGCCTATTCTTGCCTGCTATAATAAAATAAAAATAAATTTATGTTTAAAAAGCTTTAACAATCCACTCCTCAAAATAAAAACCTGACTGAAACTGTATATGATTTTTCCTCACTGCAACATTTTCTTACAGTTTTCAATTATGTAGAAGAAGTCTTCAAGACAAATCTTTGGACATCATTAAGACCCACAGACAAATTTTACTTTGAATTTTAGGTGAAATGGAAGCATTTCCTTAACAGATACCCTCCATAAATGTGATACCGCCCCGCTTTTGTGCATTCAAACTGATGCTGCAAGTTTGTAGTCTGGCCTACGATGCTGTGAGGCACTCCAGGTTCCCTTGGAAGGGTGAAAACTCCTTCTCCCAAGTTCGCATGTTGCAGTCTCTCCCTGCCTTGGAAAAAGCAGCCAACCAACAGTAGTGTGGGAATCGGACACGTTATTATCGCCAAGGGAGCCTGCCCCATCTTTTACACGGGAGGGAAGAACAGCTCATCGCTGCTCTTATGACACCGACAGAGTTGGGAAGAAATCCTGCAGTTACGGGAAAAACTGAAACGGGATTAGAGTCGGCAGAGAAGGCGCTCGGAGAGCAGCTGTGAAGCACGAAGCCAGGGATAACGAACGTGCATCAGGGAAGCGATGTCTCTCGCAGCACCGCCACAGTATTGTACTCCATACATTTCGGACAATGAGATTTATCAGTTGGCAAGCACGCACACAAAGACTAGGCAGGAAGAAATCAAACCCCAGCTGACAGACAAAACCACAATATAATCTTTTATTATCATCTAATTTACTTGACGGTCTGACTCATGATTTTTAAGTCCTCGGGGTTTGCAGCACTGCTCCACTTCTCCATCAGATCAATCAGCACGTTTACCGCGCAAGTTCCTGAACAGGGATTTGGGTTCGGTTGCTGCTGCTGCTGCTTGGTTTCTCTGCTCACCTGGATCACCCCCACGCGCTCCCCTTTCCCTGCACGTCCAGAGCGAGCGGCCAGCTAGCGCTCCGCACACGCCCCGGTGCCACCATCACCCACCTAGCTCCGCTCCCGGATTTCCAGCGCCAAGGACCGGGTTACACCGGGAGAAGCCGCGCTCCGCTCCGCGCCTCCGGAGGCGGCACGCCGGGGACAGCCTCACG